TTGCAGCAGGCTAGCGTTTCTGGCTCAACACGGCAGGGTTCTGGAAGTCCCAAGCTGGCAGAGAAAACGGGCTCAGAGGTAATTTCAGCACATTAGGTGACAGTCCCAAGGTGATCTCTGTGACCGAACCCATCACAGTAACCCAAAAGTGACACAGATAGAGACACAGAGCAACAATATTAACCCTTTCATTGCCTACAAGCAGACTATTTACCCCAAATACTGTAAGAACAATGGTAATGCCATTTCTTGTGGTTGGCAATTGACCAGATCTTGTTTCACTGAAGTCCATGTCAAACTCCCAGTGAGTACAATCCCAGTATGATGGATTATATATATATATATATATATTTTTTATTTTTTTTCTAGTTTAACATAGTTTGCATTTTTGTTGTTATCCAGTAATGTAAGAAAAGCATTATAATATTCTCATCCCTCTTTAATATAACTGACTTTCTTGCAAATACTGGCCTTAGAAAATGATTGATATAAAATGTTTCCATATGATTCACAAATAGAGATCTCTTCAAGCCAAGATTGGCAGCAGAATGCAAGACATTCTGGTTTTAGACCAATCCTCTTTATGTGCTCCAGGTCAGTGACTTAATGACAGCATACTTAATCCTTGCTCTAACAGATCTACTTTTTGGTTCTTGAAGGGAGGTCACTGGAATTATCAGAAGTCTATTTTCCAGTTCAGCAGTTTCTGGTTTCCTCTTAACATTAAATGAAGGGCACTTTAAAATGTGGGTTGATTTCTTAACATGCCTCTCAACTGCCAAAGTAATACATGCTATCAAAAATAATTAATTTAAAAAAAAATCCAGAAAACAGAAACACACAAATGTTTTTTAAAATTATAATTGTGACATATTTTAGGTCTTTAGCATTCTTATACTACAGTCCAAACTTTCAGCTACCCATTGGAGTTCTGAGTATACAACACATACACGTTATCATTCCCCAGCTTTGTCATTATTATATCTTATTGACAATATACAGTACTTAGACTAGTGGCAGAGGGGCAAAATGTCAGAATGGCTATTGCTAACTTTTCTATGCTCACACTATGAAATGGGAAAAATGCAACTTAGTTAATTTAATTTAGACTGGCACGGTCTGGCTGTTTTATTAATGTTTTCCTCCCTCTCTCCCCACTCAGCCAACTCAATCACTACCTCACATCACATATGCTTATTTGGTAGTGTTATACTGAACTCAAACAAAAATTGCAGTTTCGTCATCAGACTAGCAATTCCACCTACTTCAACCAGAACATGTTACTCTATCAAGATTTCCTAAATTTCTAGGAACTAAAAGAATGTGATATATTTATTATTACTAATTAAAGACTATATACATTACATGACACATATGATAACCTAGCAATTTTAGTTAATGGAGTACCTATTAGAGACAAAGTAGTCTAGCAAGAATAAATACATCGAGAAAATAAATATAACCCTCAAATGGCTGCACCATAACAATCACCTATATAGCTACTTTGCTCACCAATGTTACCATAATCAGCAGAAACCACTGAGCAAACATCAGTCTCTAATTGAGAAAGTATGAATAGAGATGTATGAGCAACACACAATTCATCCCCACCTTAAAGACCGGTTAGCCTGCAATGTGGTATTCATTACATGACATTATAACTGACCAATCCCTATATGCTTGGGAAAAATCAACTGAAACCTTCTGTTTCCATGGCCTGTTTATTAAAAGAAGCCGTATTTATCTACTGCTGCACACCTGGAATTTCTCTCTAAAAATGTAATATGTTGTAGGGTCTTTTCAAGTACACTAGTAATTTATTATGTGTAGTAACAGTAAATAGAGTAAAATGTCTCCAATAATTCAGGAATTTGAGATTCCTGAACACTGTAGTATGATGTGTGATAAAACTGATCTCTGCATTCCTAGAATATATTCTAGAAGTGCCATCAACCATTGCTGTGGTACTGTGGTTGCACTTCTAAAACTTGCCAGTTTTGCCAGACAACTTTTGTACTGAAAAAACAACAAGGAGTGCTTGTGGCACCTTAGAGACTAACAAATTTATTTGGGCATAAGCTTTCGTGGGCTAGAACCCACTTCATCAGATGCATTGAGTAGAAAATACAGTAGAGAGGTATAAATACACAGCATATGAAAAGATGGGAGTTGCCTTACCAAGTGGTGGGGGTCAGTGCTAACGAGCCAATTCAATTAAGGTGGAAGTGGACTATTCTCAACAGTTGACAAGAAGGGTTGGAAATCACTTTTGTAGTGCTAATGAGGCCAATGTAATCAAGGTGGACCATTTCAAACAGTTAACAAGAAGGTGTGAGTAGCCCACTTCCACCTTAATTGAATTGGCTCATTAGCACTGACCGCCACTTAGTAAGGCAACTCCCATCTTTTCATATGCTGTGTATTTATACCTCTTCTGTATTTTCCATTCCATGCATCTGATGAAGTGGGTTTTAGCCCATGAAAGCGTATGCCCAAATAAATTTGTTAGTCTCTAAAGTGCCACAAGGACTCCTCGTTTTTTGCGGATTCAGACTAACACAGCTACCCAGGGGTGAAAGTAGAAATAGGGACTTACCGGTACGGGGCTGGGTTGGAGCCGGCTCTGGCCCCCAGAAGGGGCGGGGATGGGGGGGGGGTTCAGAGCCAGCCCCGGCCAGCCCTATACCAGTAAGTGCCCTTCCCCTCCCCCGCCGGGGTAGCAGCAGCAGCCGGGGGCTCCGGCAGCAGTTTAAAGGGTCCAGGGCTCGGCCGCCACTACCACCCCGGGCCCTTTAAACCGCTGCCGGAGCCCCCAGCTGCCGCTGCTACCCCAGGGCTCCGGTGGCTATTTAAAGGGCCCAGAATTCTCCTGCCTCTACTGCCCCGGGCCCTTTAAATAGCTGCTGGAGCCTGCCGGAGCGGCGGCGGGGCTCCGGCAGCTATTTAAAGGGCCGGGGCCGTAGAGGCAGCGGGAGCCCCGGGCCCTTTAAATAGCCCCCGGAGCCCCGCTGCCGCTACCCCAGGGCTCCAGCAGCGGGGTTCTGGTGGCAATTTAAAGGGCCTGGGGCTCCAGCCGCTGCTGGGAGCCCCAGGTCCTTTAAATTGCCACCTGGGGAGGCTGGGCCGCCGGGTACGGCACACCAACTCTTGCCGGTACGCCGTACCGGGGTGTACCGGCTTACTTTCACCTCTGCAGCTACCACTCTGAAACCTTTTGTACTGAGGTACTCTTATTTAGTTAACTAAGGTGTTTCCCAAGGTCATCAGGATGTCTTTTTGTATATTTTTGAATGGGGAAGCTCTAGAATGAAAAGATGGGTTGTTAGAGAGACAAGGTAGGTGAAATAATATATTTTATTGCACCAACTTCTGTTGGTGAAAGCTACAAGCTTTGGAGCTTACAAGAGCTCTTCCTCAGGTCATATGGATTGTAGACAGATGGCTTGTTGACAGAGTAAATAAAGCGGTTAGAGATCACCTAGAGATTAACTATAATTTTAGGTGAATTGGCCTCCAAAGAAAGGAAGTAATCTATCTGTGTATTTAATCTCATTGTGTAGAGCCTCAGTAAGATTAAGAGAAGATCTTTTTTTAAAAGTCTGGCACTTGAGTAATTGTTGGGAAATTCAGGTTATCAGAGGCACAAGTATCTATAAGTGTTGAAGTAGTTTCTCCTTTAGTAGTTCTTATTAGGGCAAAGTTTACAGGTTTGCTTATATATATATAAAATTTCTTTGGGCCTTGTATATATTTCTTTTGGTATGGTGTTCCTGGTGTAGATAATTTTTTTTTTATTTGTAAGTTTCCAGTTGGAAAGGAGTACTGTTTGTAAATAAAGGGTCTAAAAGCTTCATTTTGGTCCATTACTGAGATAAGCTGTATTAAAAACAGAACTGGAGGAGTATGAGGAAATTCCATTTTGCCTTGAAATATAACAAAACTGTGTATTGCTAGTGTGAATGAAATAAAAGAAAGTTTTCCAGCTCCACCCATGACCGATCATCAGGGTATTTGTGGGAGATGACCATGATAATATATATAATCATGGGCATAGACCAGGGGTCGGCAACCTCTGGCACACGGCTCGCCAGGGTAAGGACCCTGGTAGGCTGGGCCACTTTGTTTACCTGCCGACACGGCAGGTTCGGCCGATCGCGGCCCCCACTGGCAGCAGTTCGCCGTCCCAGGCCAATGGGGGCGGCAGGAAGCGGCGCGGGCGAGGGATGTGCCCCATTGGCTTGGGATGGTGAACCGCGGCCAGTGGGGGGCGCGATCGGCCGAACCTGCCGCGTTGGCAGGTAAACAAACTGGGACTCCTGCCCCATCCAACCCACCACGTTCCTTGACACGTCCCCCCCTGGGACCCCTGCCCCATCCATCCCCCCCTTCCCTGTCCCTGACTGCCCTCTGCCGCCCCATCCAAACCCTGCTCCTTCCTGACTGCCCCCCGGGGACCCTTGCCCCCATTCAATCCCCCTGTTCCCTGCCCTCTGACTGCCCCGACCCCCCCCACAACCCCCCAAATTCCCCAGCCCTCTTCCAACACCCCCTCCCTGCTCCCTTACCGCGCTGCCTGGAGCCGCTGGGCCGGGTCCGGGTCGGCTGGGCCGGGCCAGAGCCACTCGTCCGGGCCCGGCGCCGCAGGACCCGAGCCGGGCCAGTGTAGCGACCCAAACAGACCCTGCTCCCGTTTCCCTACTTTGGGTGTAGGGTCACGCCGGAGCTGGGCCGGCGCCAAAGGCGCTCGGCCAGGCCAGAGCGAGCCGAGCCGAGCCGAGCCGAGCCGCGCCTCCCTGGAGCCTTCCCCCCGCCCCAGCTTACCTGCTGCAGCTTGTTTTCAGGCTTCCCGCACTCACAGGAAGCAAGGGAAGGGGAGGAGTCCAGGGGAGGAGGGGGGGGGGGGGGTGAGCTGGGGGCGGGGCGACAGCTGCCGGAGCTTTTGTTTAATTTAAAAGCCCTTTTAGAACCGGTTGTTCTCAACCGGTTCTAAAAGGGGTTTCTAAATTTAACAACCGGTTCCTGCAAACCGCTGGGAACGGCTCCAGCTCACCACTGCCAAGATGGCGGCGGGAGTGTGAGCGGAGGCGGCTCCGCTCCCTGACCCCGGGAGGAGGCAGCGCAGGGATGAGCCGCGTTCCCGGCCCCGTTTGGTTCCCGTGAGGCTCGCAGGGAGCGGCCGGCGCCCGGGCCATGGCGGGGATTATCAAGAAGCAGATCCTCAAGCACCTCTCCAGGTGAGTGCGGCGCCGGGGTGTGCGAGGCCCGCCGGGTTCCCCCTCTACGCTCGCCTCGCTGGGACCGGGCTTGGCTCAGCTCCTGATGGCGGTGGGGGTCTCATGAACGTCCCCCTCCGTGGGAGGGGCTGGGGGCGCTGGCAGCTGTTTTGTAGGATGGGTTTGAAGTTCTAGCGTAAGAAAAACATCTCCTTGCTGGGTGCCAAGGTGCGGGCTCCTGGGAAATACCCGCGCGAGAGAGAACAGCCCTGAGGGGGGAGAGGAATTCGCGTTGGCTGGTAGGAGAGTCAGGGGGTGAGTCACACTGGCGGGGTTGGTTCCCCTCCAGCCACCCCCAGATCCCTGAAGCATCCCCGTCCCCTCTCCTGAGTGCTGCAGGATACAAGGCGGCCTCGCAACCAGCCTGGCCAGTTGTCGCAGAGGACAAAGATCAGTCTGTGCCCCTCTGCTCCAGCATCAGTGTGTAGTTGGAAAAGCAGAAAGACACAGTGGGTGAGGTATTATCGTTAATTGGACCAACTTCTGTAGGTGAGAGACAAGCTGTTGAGTTTACACAGAGCTCTTCTGCAGGTCTGGGAAATGTCCTTAGAGTTTCACAGCTAAATACAAGGTGGGGCAAATTGTTTGGCATAAATAGTTATTACGGATTTCAAGGGAAGTAGTTAGGAAGGTGACTGAGGGATGTGAGAGGGAGAGCTGAGCTAGTCACTGGCCAGGAGAAGAGGGAGCAGCCCGGTGGGCTGTAAATTGTACTTGACACGTTGTATGTGGGAGGAGCAAGCAACAGCATGGCTGATGTCATGGAGTCCAGTGCGCACAGTCTTTGCTGCCTATTCCAGACAGCTGCACAGACACACCACATTTGTCTCAGATGACAAGGAATCCAGAACAGTGGTGAAATTTTAGTAGGTGCCGCAGCTCATGGGGCAAGTGAGTAATCTGGGATAAGAAAGTCCCTGACATAGAGAAGGATGACTATACTAGGGAGCTGGTTGAGTGAACAAAAGAGCATTTTGAAATCCGATGTTGTTAAGATGCAAAACACCTTTGCTGGTCTCTTGAACCCTTGACTTATCACAATCAAAACAATACATGTGTAGCCCCACATGGGTGTGAAATCAAATTCTTCTGCACATTTGCACAGTGCAGGAAGATGCTTTGTAACAATTCATGCCCTCTATGCCAGGCAGTCCAAAGGTTACAATTTTTGTACTGTCTCTGTGATTGTTGTTTAATTCACTTCATGATAAAGACCAACTCTGTTGTAAAATATGCACTCAGTCCTGGGTGTGTACATGCATATGTACACAAACTTGTGTGTGAAAGATAAAAACTAACCAGAGGTGCCAGCTGTTATAGAATGTAGTGAGGCGATCTGATTAATGGGAGGGTTTTTTAAAATTCAGTTGAATAATTTGGTTTCACTGTTTTAAAAGGGTGAACCAAAAAGTTTCACTATGTAGTCAGAATCTGTTGTGACACACAACATTGGCAGCCCTTCAGAGTTTGTGTTTATGATTAGAAAAACTGCTCTGGAAAGATAGCCTTTATTACTCTTTAGTTGCTCCTTATGTGTCTTTCAAGTCATATATGATTTACAGAATATGCGTTTACTGCTGCCAATAGTAATAAATAGCGAATAAAAAAAAGAAAGAAAAACAAATATAGCTGTGGATGACAGCTGAATTCTCTTGTGCCATATGCATCAACAACAGATTTGTTAGCTAAACTCTGATGCAAAATCTTGGCTCTGTCTACTCCTTAAAGATTAGTAGTTGTGATGTACGAAGCAGAAATGATACTTTATTTTTTCTGATTTTTATAATTGCATTGATGATTGAGAAATCTTGTTATGACGTGAACATAATAGAACACTTTGAGGATGGAAATGGAATACCAAGATATCATTTGTACAGAATCAGCTCATTAACCATGAGCATACATGATATTGCAGGCCTTCATTTAGGGCGTGAGCCTCTGTGGTGCTTGGCTTCTTCAACTTCAACTGAAGTCAGTAGGAGTTGATGGAGTTCAACACATTGTAAAACCAATCCCATAATTTTCCTCAAGAAGCTGTTCTTCCATATGTAAAGATCAAGACGTTTGTTGTTCAAAAGCTCTAAGTTCCTGTATACAGTAGAGGTATATTCTTTTCATAATACAATATTATATCTCCTGTTAGTGATGTGTTAATAAATTGTATGCACCATGAAAGGAGAAATAGAACCACAATCTTTGTATTTTACATTAAGGTCTTGTTTGTATTTGATACATGGGCATGCCTAAAATCAGCTGTGTGCACAGTAGTTGGTTTTATAATATAAATCCACATCCACATGCTAGGTCAGAATTGAGCCCCTAGATTATTATTTTTTTTTTTTTTACTGTTCTATAATTTGCAGTCAGTTTCTAGTGGTTTGCAAAGATACTTATTGGAACACAACAGATCATTCAAACCTTAAAAGTTTGGGGATTTTTTAAAACTCTCTGATAAGGTATAGCTGACCATTTTAAATTTGTACAGATATGGGTTTTTTATTGCCCACCTTACACTTACAATATAGTAGACATATTGTTTCACAAAATCTGGACCCCATTCTCTCACTTGTACTAATTTGGAAATTAATAGGACTACTTGTGGAGGAAGGCTTTGTTCAGCGAGTGTAAAAGGAGCAGGATTAGGCTTCTACTGAGCTGATACAGTTAAATATAGAGATCTGTCACGTCAATAAAATGGCTGATTTGAAATGTCAATAAAATGCTCAATGGAGAATAAATAAAAATTTCCATTAATATCAGAAATGTTTTCCCTAGGAAATTAAAATTTGTATATAGTGGGGTATGTATATATGATTGGCTATATAGCTTTATATAGGGGGGGCTTTATAGCAAAAGTGGAACAAATTGTCTTATGAATAGTGATTTGCAAAGCAAATGCTAATTATCTGTCAGTCTCTAACTCTTAAAACTGTTTTCTGAGTGTGTTCTGTTTGTGGTTTTGGGGTTAATTAGAGATGTTCTAGCACTAGCAGTTAGGTGCACTAAACTTAAGGCTTCTTTCTCATAGCAGTTCTCAGTACTTCAGAGTTCTTTCTCACATATAACATACTAATTTGTTTGCTTTAAACGTAGGGAAAAAATTGCAAGTTACAAATCAGTATTTCTTAACCATTTTCTTAATGTGTTACAATAAAAAATTATTGGCTTACAGAGCTGTTAGGGTTGTCAAATCAGTTTTCCAAACCAGACACAGATAAGAGTAGACACAATGGGGCCCTTCTCTTGGCTGGAGCCCCTAGTCACTACCATAATTGCAATAAGGGAAAAGGAATCAGAATAGGTGCTCCTTTTACAGTTCTAGATGAGATGAAATCGCTCCTCCCTCTCTCTCAAGGTATCAATTCCAGAAGAAACAGAGACCTTGTCAGCTCATAAAGTATCCCAGATTGTCCTGTCGGGCTTAAGGAATAATGTGATTTGAGGTTCAGTAAGATTTATGTTCATTCAATCACTAACTTGGAGTGGAAAGTAAAGAAAAGTAAAAACCAAAACCAAATTTAAACTGGGTAAATAAAACCAACCTGACAAAAACAACCCCTCCTTTTCCAGTTAATTCTGAGTTTTATACAGTCTTAGCATAACTTTGGTAAATGATTTTAGGCCTTTATCTTCAGAGTCCTCAGATAACAGTACCTCATAAATAGGTTGTTACCGTCTCCTTTATTTATTTATTTTTTTTGTAAATAGGCTGGGCTTGTTAGTTCCATTGTTGACTGTTTTCATTGTTTCATGTATTATAGGGGAAGCTGGTAGTGACTTCTATCTGTATTTAGCTTGCTTAACACTTTCCATTATTACAAAAAGTTATGTTATTATTTTCTTTGAAAAGCTTTTGCAGCAGATCTTTGATATTTCGTAGGAGAATAACCCTCAGGCTACACAAATGCCTTTTCTTTGACCCATAAAATTCTATTCAGCTTTTACTATGATATAAATTTAAAGATTGCCATTTCCCTTCTGTCATTTGTGTTCCTCGGGGAAAATGTTGGCAGAATGTAACAATAAAAACTGAATGAGCACTCTAAGGCTGGACCATGATGCTGCAACCTAGCAACATACACTATTGGGAATGCCTGAGAGTTGCTAGAGAAGCTATAGAGGAGGAGGGCTGGGAGGAAGAGATCTGGGCACCACATGGGGGTGGAGCTCCCTCAGCCCTCCATGTTGGGCGGAGAGCTGATCTCGACCTTCTCTCACCCACCTTTTCTCCCAGGCCACACTCCAGACCCAGCATCTAGACCCAATAGTCCATGCCTCTTCTGGTGTTACCATATGGGTCAGGAACTCCCCCCACTCCTAGGGGTGGTGAGAGAGCTGGGCTCACCCCACCCCCAGTCTCAGAACGCACACACCGTCTCCCTCTAGTTGGTAGCAAGAGAAGGCTGTTATCCCAATGTAATCAGTCTCGTAGAAGTTTGTGCTGCAGTTTTGTGAACTAAGCAGCTTTAATTATGCCCCCTGCTCCATATGCATCCTTAATTACATGTTCACATGCTGTGGTGTTCGCAGGACCCGTGTCTCATTCAATGCATAGGATGGATGCACAAGATGACAGAATTAAGATGACATAGGAAATACCAGATTTACAGTTGCCCAACTTTTGAGTGCTTGATTTTGCAACCTAAAATAATATTAATTTAACATTAGGGGGTTTTATATGAATATATTATGAAGATAACTGACCTAAATAGGTTGAAATAAAATGGTGAATGGAGACCTGAAATCAAACATGCAAGAGAAGTCTGATGTGGTTGAGGAAAATGAAAGAAGGATTGCCTTTGGGTTGCGGCTGTATTATTATTATAATATACCTTCTCTCTGCATTCAGATTGCTTCTGAACTGTAGAAATGTAGAGCTGGAAGGGACCTTGGGAGTATTAGTTCATTCCCCCCCACCCCACTCTCCCTGGTGCAGAGGCAGGATCAAATATACCAAGAAG